CCACAATGACATTGGTAAACTGATGATTCTAATTAGTTCTGCAATTTAAGAATTCAATTATTAAGTTAATGTTTTCCAAACCTGTTTGGCCACAATTTTATTTTCAATGAGTATTTCAAACAGCACATGGAATTAGTCTCCAGACAAATGGTCTTCAGAGGCTTCTCGGAACAGGTTACATAGCAACAGAGGGCAGCAAGAGAGTCAGCTTTGCAAATGGCTTACGTTAATTTCAATTTCATTTTCCTTGAAACACTCTGTGATTGTCTTATTAAGATACTAAAAGGACATTTTTTAAAAGCCTTAATTATTTTTTCCTATGGGAAAATATGGTTTGAATTTATAAAATTCTGATCATATGACATATACACTTTTGCACATTTTCCTTTCAATAACTATGTTATATTCATGTTTTTATACTATTACCTTTTTTCCAAATTGTTATTTTTAACAGATGTATAATATTCCCATTTTACAATACAACTATATTTTACACACTGCTTTAACTAATTTGCTCACTGTCGTACAAATTTCAATTTAAGTTTTACATTGTTATATTTAATTAAGGAATAAATAGTGGGTACATAAATTTGGGGCCATAATTTTATTATTTCCTTAGGCTAGACTGTGAGTCAAGCAATCACTGAAGGGAAGCCTTTGCTTATACATTTCCAGTGAGTTTTCTAGAAAAGTTATACCAATTTACATTGTCATCATTAGTATTGCATATAGAAATGCTTGTGTCACTACTGACATTAAATGCAGTGAGATTAAAAGAAAAACTCAATTAGCTCTGCTAATATATAGTAAATTATTCTTAGATGTACACTGGTCATTTGTAAGTCTTTTTCTGAATTATACGTTCAAATTGTTTTCCAGTTTCCTATTAGGGGTCAGTGTTAATACTGCATTGTATGGGTTCTTTACATATTAATGATATTGTCTAATGTTCTGTTAGAAAAAAATATTGCTCCTCTCTTCCACAACATTTTGTTTATAAAGTCCTATATCCAAACAATCAATAACTTTTCATCTATATTTCTTTTTTTAAAATTTTTGTTTAATTTTATATTTCATTCAGTTAGAATTTTAATGTATTTCACGGTCAGGATCAAACCTAATTTTCTCCCCAACCTACTTAATTTCCCTAGCACAATTATTCAATAAACAATCTTCTAACAATGTACATGTTCTAGTCCATTAAATACAAAAGACTCGAGATGCAGGTACCAGAACACATTTACTGTAATAGAGAAGGCTGAATGAGGCCACTATATTTCAGATACATCAAGTGGCAATTTGAGTGACAGATGTCAAGTACGAGGTGCTTTTGTAATATTCTGTGAACAGAAAGAATAGAAGGCTTTGAACTCTGAAAATACATTTGTAGGAGAAAGGAGAAAGGGGGGGGCTATGGCTTCGTTAAAATGAAAGGTGAGATGATGAAAATAGTTGCACACAAACTCTGCTCCTCTTACAGCAGTTTCACACTATAAAGAACTTTAGAAATTAACTCCACGCTTACAAAGCAGAAGCCAGATCTTTCCAAATCAAAAAACTAGCTAGATAAAGGCAGAAACAAAACACCAGGCTCCAAAATGATCCCAGAAACAGTCTTCTCACCAAGTCAGTCTTACAGTCTCTGATATGTATAAATGTTTTTTAAATAAAAATAACTGTTTCACATTCACTGAAATGTTGTAAGAATACAAGACACAAAAATTATTTAAAATAAAGGTAGAAAAGCTTAAGTTATTTCTGATCCTATTCAGTCCTGAGATACTTTTAGAATTAGTTTTTTTTAAAGGATAAGATTAAATTTATGAAAAATCAACACTACTATCAGATTACTTTCTGAAATCTCTCAAGGCAGTAGGTAGCTAACTTTTTTGCCTTTTACTAAATATTTAAAATACTTCAATATTTATTTTTAAGCAGGAAAAATTAATGTTAACTACTTATATTAGCCTAATAATAAACATTATTAGTTAGTAATGAAACAGTCTCAGAAATCTACTCTAACTACTTCTGATCCACAAATTAAAACCTTTCCTCAGAAGCTATAATCAAGTCTCTAAAATTACTCGAAAATCACCAAGCTCACCCCAGAGAATGCTTTCATCCACAGGTTTCCCATGAGATACAAAGACCAATTATTTAAGGGAGTCATATTTTCTTTCTCTTTCTGAAAAAGACATCTGTGCTACGATAACTACATGTACAACTGCGATATGAGTATATCACAAGTCTTTAGGAAAAATACACACTACAAAAATATGCTGTTCTGCCTGCGTTTTCCTTCTCTGACTACACTTAATGTAGAGATTTTCTAGACCCCACATTCAAATATTCTAAGGCCACCTGATTTTTCCCTCTGACTTTTTATCACCCTTTAGTCCTTTCTGAAGCTGCGCTATTTTGACCTACACATTTTCCTAAGGGACAGTAAACCCTAGATGTTATCCTCCCAAATATGAGTTTAATCTTTTCTCTCATGCACTGTGATGATTAATCACAGTATGTGACTTCACTGGATTAAGAGGCACGGCCTAGCAGATCAGTAGAGCATGCTCCAGGGTGTGTCTGGGTGGGTCAGGGAGGAATGGCCTTGGGGACTATACATGGTCCCTGTCAGTTCCCCTCTGGCACTGTTGCCCACTCTGCTTCCCTGACACCATGGAACTAAGTATCTTTGCTCCTCCATGCTCTTCCACTATGGAAATCTTCCTACCATGTACCAAATCCAAAACACTGAGCTACTTAAACCTTCCCTCCTTTAGGCTGTGGGTGTCAGGTACTGCGTCTCAGTGACCGACACGTGCATGCTCCTTGGTTGTTGTGACTCACTTGATGTCCATGTGGAAGGGCATGCGATAAACTGTACAGAGTATGCTGCGAAGTTCTGCCTTGCCATACTTATCCCATAATACCCCATGGCGAGCCCAGCAATGCTTAAACCTGTGTGCAGAAGAACAACAATGAGAATCTGTTGAAACGCAGGCCCTGAGGCCCTTCCCTGGCTTCTGGGCTTCCACAGCTAAGGCATACTTCTAGTGACTGTCACCCTAGCAGTTCAGTAACTACATGTGCCACAGTGGTAACAAAAATGGCCCCAATTTTCCACCCCTCTCTCTGACAATAACTTTCACAGTGCGACTCCACCGTTCCTCCAAGAGGTGGAATCTATTGCCTTTCCCTGTGAATCTGAGCTGTTTTTGAAACCTGCTCCAGCAACAGAATACTGTGGAACCGAGGCTGTGCCGTGATAAGCCTTGCTGGTTTCCACACTGTCCCTCGGAACCCTCACGCCATGGTCCTGTGAATGAGCCAGGCTGGCCTGCTGTTAAGAACTGATCTGTGGCCCAATCTCCACTACTGGACAGTTGGGCACACAAATGAGGCATTCTGGACCAGCCGGCCCCAAAGTGACCACTGAACACTGCAGCTGCCCAACCAAGATCAGTCATTCTACCCCAGCTGACCCACATGCTCTTGAGCAAGAGTTTTAAACTGTAAGTTTCAGGGTGATTGGTTACACAGTGATACATTACTGATACATCACAGTTCTAATATTCTTTACCTGAGAAGAACTGATTTCTCTCTTCTTTTTCACCTCTCCTGCCTCCTTCCTAATATAGGCTCTTATTTCTTCTTCAGACTACTACAGTCTTCCAGGTTGACTTCCCCCTTGCTGTCATCCTCCATGTCCACGCACACTGCTACTGCTAAGACTGCCTGTATTCCTTAAAGTCAGGAGTTCCATTGTCATCATTTATATATTCTTACAGTCCATAAGGCTTCGCACCTCACAAATACTCAATCCTCGTTTGAGGACAACAGCTGCTGGGTTCATAAAACACAGCTCAGAACACATCACTCTCCTACAAAGAACACTACGGGCACTTACACCATTTGCTGGATCCATTTTCCACTTGATGTATTTAATTCTAGGACTTCTGTGCCAAAGCCCCGGCCTAGCCTCCAACCCTTCTTCCCTGTCTTAATACTCTGTTCAGAAGTGAACACACCTCTTATTTCTGTACCCACGCTGAAACTCAGATTCCTGACTAAAATTCCCTCCTGCATCTCTGCAAAGTCTACACATCCTTGAAGGTCCAGTTCCAACGCCACGTCTCCTGTAAAAATCTGACAGCTCTGATTAACAAAAAGATCACCCCCTTCTCTCTGCCTCCAGCACTTAGCCTGAGCCTTTCCTGGGTACCTGATATTATAGTCACTTGTACAATATTCCCTACCATGCTGTGACCTTTTTCAGGGCAGGTTTCACCTTTTCCTCCCTCTGTGCCTTTGTATCTAACACAGTGCTCTACATAAAGCATAATAAGATCATCATAAAATGTATACTGAATGAATGGCTGCTTTTCAGTCACTACTAAAACAACAATAAAAGCAGTGATACTCAATCTCAAAGTCAAACCCAGAACAAAAAAGGGCAGAATACATGTGTTGGTTCTCATATATCAGTTTGTAAAAGAATCTTCTGGAATGTCTGTTAAAAATACAAATTCCTAGGCTCTGCTCCCAGAGAGATTGGTTCAGCAGAACTCAAACCTGAGTTTGGAATCTTGGCCCACGTGATTCTGACAAAGATCTGAGGGAGGTTTACAGGCAACACTTTGATATACGGTGACACAGAGCCTGCTTTACAGATATGCATTCCAAAGCAACCGCAACCCCCTTTTTTCATGCACCTAAGAAACTTTTTTAAGTTTCTTAACTTTACTGTCAAAGCACTGAGTGCAGCAGGCTTATAATAAGAACTACTTTAACAATACATACACAGTCTGGCACCTTATTAGCCTGGGTTGTGGGAATATGGCATCACACCCCAATCTTTGTAATCACAATTTGTGCACATTTTTCCTCTATATACTTTTTATAAACTATTTAAAGTTTAGTTTGCTACAAATAGCGCTTTTTCAGACCATCTCAGCACATGAGGCATGCCTGAAAATGACCGGAGGGCGCCCGACTCTCACCTCGGTCCCTGAGGCTGGCTCTCAACGCTCTCTCCAGTTGTTCCTCTTCACTCAGGCCCGCAGTGTACACATCATAGTTTCTGGGCACTTCTTCACTGTACCCTGCCCTGCCGTACGGCCCATGAGTTTGATATCCAGAGTGGTCTGTGGGCACAAAGAACAGGTTATAGAGCACTACAGTGGACTGCTCTTCTGTTTCAGATTTCCTGCTTTGTATATGCAAAGACAAGGAAATACGCCATGTCATATTTTGAGTATAACAAAAATCCTCAAAATAAGAGATGTTGACAAACGCAGAATGCCTCCCTGAGGGTGGGAAACAATGGTCTTGTTGCTGTTGTATCCACAGCATCCAACATGGGCCCAGACTTGAATGAGACCTTATGTGCTACTGAGGAAAGGAGATATTAGAAGGTAGTCAGAGGTCCTGCCGAAGGGGCTGGGATGGGCTGTTGACTACAGAGTGGACTCCTACAGCCTGAAGATATTCAGTCCTTGGAGTACTTTGTGGAAGTCCTGGCTTGAGCCAAGAGAAAGGTGGAAAAGAGCTGATCAAGCCTTACTGTTGTGGCCCCATACAACGAGAGGCAGAGCAACCTTTAACACATATGTACCACAGGATTTCCACGCTGAGTATCACACTTCAGAGTAATCACAAGATGGAGACGTAGAAGACAATCTCTCTGTAACTATAATTCTATGTCAGACATTGTAATTTTCAGTAATAGCATTTTCAGAAAATTTGGTTGCTAGATAAATACGAGAGAAAAGACAAACTGGTCATTAAAAAAATGTTTTAACTACCAAACTTAAGACACCCAATTAATAAAGGTAAATAACAGGGCAAAGTTCATTTATGCAAAATAGTTCCAGCAGTCTTTTCAGGCAGAGTCTACTCCTTACATTTGTAATTGCCAACTGTTTCTGAACTAGTTTTGAAGAAATTTTTTTTTTCCTATAGAAGACGATTCATCTCACTGTGGCACAGGGAGAAGCTATACTTTATTTAATGTTTTGCTTCTTTCTTGATGGGATTATGTCCTTTGAAGATGATGTTTCAGGTGTTTAATGTGCTTTTTGTTGGTGATGAAAATGCTTAAACTTTACTGTGAACGTTATGTCATTTATCTCCATATCATTCAATACAGTATAGAGCATGCCTGAGTTATAGCTTTAGTAAGATTTTACAAAAAAAGTCAAAAAGAAGAAGTGTATATAGCAGAACATGGGTAACTGAAATTTCATATTCATAATTTTAATAATTGATCCTGAGGCTGTTTTGAAGCTCATTTTTGTACCAGGTATGAGTAAAATACTTTCCTAACATGCAAAATTAAAATGCAAACTGTATCTTCCATAAAATATTTTAGCATTCAATTCCTTATTGTCATATAAACAATGAAATTACAATAAAACTAGTTTCAGCTGATAGTATAATTATAAGTTTCTATAAATATTTGTCATGTAAAGTATTTGTGTGTGTGTGGTTGGTACTGGGAGTTGAACCCAGGGCCTTTGCACTGAGCTCCATCCCCAGCCCTTTAACATTTTTTATTTTGAGACAGGGTCTCATGAAGTTGCCCAGGCTGCCACTGCACTTGAATTCTTTTTGCCTCAGCATCCTAATCACTGGGATCACAGGCGTGGGCCACTGCTCCTGGCTCTCCTGCTATTTGGGGAGAGCTTTTGAAGATATAATTGATTGGTATGCTTTTGTATGTGTCCCTGCAATTCATGAGTTGCCGCTTAATCCCCAAAGTCATGTGCTGATGTACTCAGAGGGAGACCTGCGGAGGTCATGAAGGCTGGGTCAGGTCATTAGGGTGCAGCTCTCCTCGAAGAGGGCGAGGACCGGAATAGCACCCTAACCTGCTCCCACATGATGCGCTGCCCTCACCAGGTGCCAAGGGGGTGCAGCACTCCCCAGCCTCCAGAATCGTGGAGGAAATAAACCTGTACTCTTTGTGAGTTACTCAGTTTCCAGTTTGTTAAGGGAACAGGAAACAAACAAACTGAAAAACTACACAACTGACCAGTTTAAAGTGTACAGCTCAGTGGTTTTAGTGTCCGTACAGTTGTACCACTATCGCCACAGTCACTTTTCAATCTCTTCATCTTTCCCACGAAAGAAATATACACTCTTCAGCTAACAGTGCTCGCCCCCTCCTCCCCCAGCTCTTAACTACTAATCTAATCCTGTCTCTGCGGAAATGCCTATTCTGAAAAGCATTTAAATAAAGTCATATGCAGTGGTGCTTTGGTTTACGAACTTAATTCTTCCCATGATTCTGGCCGCAAACTTAACTGGATGAGAACCAAATCAAATTCAATGGTTAGGGTCAATGTCGTCTTTATGGAGAAATTTGATTCAGGTCTTGTCCAATTCAGTTTGTGACCAGAAGCATGGAAAGAGTTAAGTTTGTGAACCAAGGTACCACTGTAATGTGTGGTGTTTTGTGTCTGGCTCATTTCACTTAGTATGTTTTCAAAGTTTAGCAATGCTGTAATGTGCATCAGTATTTCATTCCTTTTTAGGGCCAAATAACATTCCATCATATGGATAGACTTCTTTTTTTTTTTTTTTTTTTTTTTTTGGCAAAAGGGTCTCACTGTGCAGTTCAGGCTAACCTTGAACTCACCATGTACCCCAGGATGGCCTGGAATGCATGGCAATCCTGCTGCCTCAGCTTCCTGAGTGTTGAGATTACAGGTGTGTGCCATCACACCCAGCTGGACCATATTTTAAAATCTACACATCAGATTTTTTACCTCTTTGAATATTATGAATAATTCTGGTATAAACATTTGTAGACAAGCTTTTATGTGGATATGTTTTCATTTATTGAACATTGACCTAGGAGGGGAATCGCTGGGTCCTAGTGGGTATGAAGCAGTACCTTAGTGTGGTTTTGATGACTAATGATGGTGAACATCGTTTTATGCGCGATTGACCACTCATACATCTTCTTTGGAGCAATGTCTATTCATATACTTTGCTCATTTTTACTCTTAAAGCTTGGTTCTATTTTACTGAATATCCTTGAAGTAAAAAAACAAACAAACAAACAAACGGGTAATGTAAAGAAATCTTAAATAAAATTGCTTAGGAATTTGGTCCTTGCTCTGAATGCAGTAAAAATTAGTGAGGACTCACTAGATAATTCCAATAACCTAATTTACATATTCTCTCTCACACGTCTCCCATGTCAGAACATTAACATGACAAGTATTTTGAAAAGGAGATAAATAAACTTTTCAAATACTCACAATGGTTTATGATCAAACCGGGATCTGGATACAATTTTCAAAATGGACATTTCTCCTCAAATCAGTCTGTACCCAATGGAACCATCAGAAAAATTCAGCTCCTGCTGATGTGCTGGGGACACCCTCCCCCCAGCACGCTTCATACCTTGACAAGGAAAGGAGACTGAAGCAGGAGTATGAATCTTGCTTCCTGTTCTCTTCACCAAAAACAAAGACTTTCATAGGAGAGCAATCAGTCAAACCAAAATTAATCCTACTTCACAAGGGACAAAAGAAAGGGACAATGACTCCAAAACACTAATAGAATATGTATGGATAAGTCACTGAATACCATGGGGTGCTTCAGAAATCCCTGAATAAAGAGACTGCCCAATTCCCTAAGAATGCCAATTATTTTATTGCAACACAACAAGCATATGTGGTAATTTCCCACAAGGCTCATTATCACTTTCAAACCCCTGTGGAAAGTCATTCCGTTATGGGAAATCTAAGCAGTGTGTCTACCTATTCATCTTCCAAAACACTCAGCTAATTCAAAATTCAAATAACCCAAAGCCCATGGATACCCATGCATACAGATGCTACATATATCTATAAAGTTTTAATTGCAGGTACATCTGCAGTGATTTTAGATAACATTTTCTTGATACAGAAAAAGATTTTTCTTCATGTTATTTCTTACTTGAAAATACCCTAGTAGTGCTTTAATTAAATAAAGATAACGACTCTAAACATCTGAATATTATAAACCCTAATTTGGTACTTGTCAGACACAATGTGGGGAGAAAGAATGAGAAAGTTTTGGTGCCTTAAGTCAAAAACACTAGTGTGATTAAAGGCTGTATATCATCAATCATAAATCATCAACAAGACCAGAAATCCCATCAATAGCTATTATGATGAGAACAGGTCTCCCAGGACCAAAAATTTCCTACAGCTGTGCTGCTCGCCCAATCAGATGTTTTTAAATCTTTATAATAAACATTCCTTGGAAAACCTAACAATCAAACACTGAAGATAAATAAGTTTAAATTATATCCTGTGATGAATACTCATTTAAAGTTCTTTTGTAGCTGTATTGTATGGGGAAACTATTTTAGCTACATACTTTGGTAGGAAAAGAAACTCTGGTTATCATTATTCTATTAACTACTCCATCTGTTCCTTATACACATACCAGGATTTCATGGCCAAGGAGATCAAGAAACACCACCAAGATTAGAAAAATTGGTAACAGCTTTTTAAACATTCATGAGGTTTTCTGACCTATAAAGACTTTCCCAGCTAAAAGGATCGCCATGTTAAGAATGAATCATTACTTGTAAGAGATACATATGCTTTCAGAAAAGTCCCCCAGATGACCATTAACAAGGCCACCTGGCCTTCTGTAGCTCTGCCTTTGAAGAAATCCAATCACTTCAGAGGAAGGAATATAACTATGGTAATCTTATAGAGCGGCGGAAAGGAAAGCAAGACGGGCTGGTGTTTTTGCCTGGAGTTTCTGGCCTGTGTGTCTGCTGGGCCTATGCTTCTTCCATATGAAAGAAGAAAGAGGCAGGTTTCTCTCTCTTTTCTTAACAAATAGAGTGCAGAAAGAAAAAAAAAGATAAAAAGATAAAAGGGAAAGAGAGAAAAGAGAGTAAATGGAACTGCCCTGCTTTATAAGGTTAGACTGGCAGAGTGCCCATCACCTAACCCTGTACCACAGCAAAAGCGGGAGCTAGGAACTAGAGGCATCCACCTTTGTCTTTAGCCTTTCCACTAACTACCTGGGTGAATTTGGCCAAATTACTAAACCCCAGTTTCCCAGCTATGAGGGTTAGGACTAGGTAACCCACAACCATAAGCCACGTCTGTGCACAAGTATGTTCTTGCTA